TTTAACACAAAGATGGGCTCCATTCAACCATTTTGGTTCAGATTATTCTACCACAAACATGTACATTGTATATATTGTAGGTAAGCACATCTCCAGTATTGGAAACAGCCAGGTAGAGAAATATTTACCTCTAATTCTGTCAAAAAATATCTTAAGTTCCTTAATGTATTATAATCTTATACACTGTTGAAATATAATACTGGCCAATGACTGACAAATAATCCTGACATATCTGAAACTGACTATCATAAAATACCAGTTTTTCATATTCAACTATTAAATGAGGATGTTTTATAACTATTAAATACAACGCAATTCAGAGAATAACTTTAGCTTCCGACAAGAGAAATTCCCCCGAGACAGTAAGGAGAGATACATGTTGTTCTCTCTACCATACTTTACAATAACAATCAAAATAACTCTATATACAACAACCCTATAACAGCACACATCTGGTATAGAAGTTTCATTCTTGAGGAACTCGATGCTGACTAAAATGTCTTTCCCAACCCTGCAGCTAGGCTGACATTTAACCCTAGGCTCCTGTTCTTGTTGGCCAGTAACATATTATATATTAAACAGGGACCACTCGAGTCTCATGTGGCCTGGTCTATCCTAATAGACAATCAAAGTCTATCAAAGTAAGTACAGGCTATGTCGATTGGACTAATAAACACAGCCAATCATAGCTATTACTTGTTCATTTCCATGGTAATACATACGTTAAAAAATGAGCTAAATGAAATTGTCCACGACACAATCAAATGATAAATACTGTACCACACTGTAACAGAAAACCAAACCAGATTTCGACCTGTACTGGGTTATTACATTCACTAATAACCAAAATAGAAATACACAGAAACGCATGAACTGCTCACTGATGCTTCCTGTACCTTGTAAACACACAGTGTACTAATATACTAAATGACTTAAACGGACTCCTGAATATAGATCTATATATAGGTTTCGGACAGGTATTATAACAGCTAGCATGCCTTATATTGGGTAAGTTATATATCAATCCTGCAGACCAGATAACAGAGCAAACAAATGAAATTAAGCCAATGGCAGGCAACAATAGCCGCCATAACCTGCATGATATAAGGGAGATATTGATTTTCAGCGGATTTCTTTTCCGTTATTCCGACTCTGTTGTGTGTTTTCGTGGGTTTTCCTTTCAGGATAGGAATGACTGCACTGATTACTTCTGGATTACACCAAACAAAATATGCAGATCAGTGTCAATGATACAACAGAATTACTACTCCTCGCTTCAACATAACCAAAGTCCTTGCTAGGATACCATATCAAAGTCAGAGTTCTGGAACCAAATCAGCCAAGTCTCGCTCTGATGTAACTGTTCTCATCATCACTACAGGAAGAGTACTTAAATTAGCTATCATCCTGGCTCTGATATCACAAACCACTATCTGTCCTCTCTAAAAAAATCATTACGTACGAGTCCTTGAACCAAAAATCTGAGACCTAAAACAGATATCATATAAGTTTACAAGTCCTCACACAGATATAACCAATGTGAAAACTGAGTTGTCACTTAGATATCACTGGTATTACCAGGTTTAGAAAAAAAAGTTTCCATTTTCAGCTATTGATACTGAAGTAACAAAATTGTCCTCTTTCGGATATTCCTACTGCAGAAAGAAAAATGTCCTTTCTAAGATATCACTACCGGAGTAGGAAATCCTGAGCTCTCTCACAAATATAACAGTAATAAGAATAAGTGTTCTCATTTCGTTATCAACAAACTAAGAGGAGTCCTCACTCAGCAATGTTAGAAGTGAGCTGTAGCTGTCACATGATCAGAATCACAGAGTTTGTGCCACAGACTCAGATGAAAAGAAGGATCCAGTGCATCTATGATCTTTTGCTGGTTTCCGTTGGAAGTTTCAGAGAAAGAGTCCTTATTCAAACATCACTGCAGTGAGAGTTTACTGTCTAGATTCTGAAGTCCTAGGGGTAATTAATTAGTACATACTCAGATTTGCATAATACCACATTACCAAATTCAAAGTCAAATGCTTTTCACCAAAGCAACATGACACAAGTTTCCCATTCTGCAAATCTGGCGCAAGCTAACCTAAAATTTCAATTTCAAAATATCAAATAAACCGTGACTCTTTATACAGTACAGTACCTTGATAAAATGGATTGGTAAAAATTTGGCATAATTGACAAGAATGTTGAAATTCAAATATATCAATAAATTTAATTTAATTTTGTTTGAAAACCAATTTCATTTTGAGAGGTCTTTTAAAAATGTTGCGTTGACTCTAGCAATTTAATTTGTCTGAAGGACTCATAAGAAGTAATGTTACCCTGATATCAGTACAAGATTTACTTCTGGGTTTGTTTACCGATATGATATAAATGTGGATGTACAACATTTGCCACTCTTCTCAGTCTTTTTCATATATTACTGATATCAGCATGATAAAAGCCCAATAACTAATGAGAGAGGAACTTCTGTAGCTATCAGCTATGAGCAGTAAGTATATAACAGGTTAGTATATGTTACAAATTTCTTTCAGAAGAAATAATTCCTATTTCCCCAAACATCAAAAAAAAACTGTTTGCTTTGACCTGTATTCATGGTTTTCATTATGTTTTTCCGGCAGTCTATGTTTTATAGTAGCTAGAGGTTTCATTAATTTACGCATGGTGAAAATTCATATTGAGGCTTAACTTTAATGATCAACGAACATTAAACATGCAGAGACTAAAAGAAGATGTTATCTGATATAATTAACTCCAGATTACTATCTCTCACCACGTACACTAACATTGATAGCATACAATTTCATTACACTTCATCCAACAAATTACACTGCAATAGGCCCTGCATGTCTGGTTGTAAGCAGAAAATGCTAATTTTTCAGGTATTTCGATTTCCTTGTCCTGATTCTGAGACAGGGTCCTCTTATAGTAACTTGTAAGTACCTCACTAAACATCATCAAGTCAGAAGATACGGATTCTGGTGATAATGAAGTTATATATGAATATGAAGGAAAAACACTGTTACATCCTATCAGTGGTGTGTAAGATCTTCAATACAGGTTTACGAAATTGACCAGTTTTATGGATATAAGGTCTGTGTGTACAGCTGTCATGTCTTGTATACAAACCATAAGTAAACCAACATGTTCTGCAACTAGCTAACCTACTACGTACTTCCTCCTGCTCTCCCTACAATCACTGATAACCTTCTATAATCCCACCATCTTCACTCTATCTTATCACAGAAATATTATTTTTGGTTGTATACTTATCTAAAATGTGTATTTACAGTTGAAACATGAATTCTATATCAACTTCTAGAAGTACTGGTAATCTGAAACTATCCAGTATAATCAGTATCATTACCATGGCAACTAATGTCCAGATTTGACCTATGAATTTACAGACTTACACTCCCTACAGCTCCTTGTACCATGACTGCCTTGTTACAATAATTGCTGCAATTTCATGCAGTACAACTAAAGTACATTTACATGTTTTTCTTCATATAACAAAATTATTGATAATAAAATAAAATTCTACAATACTGATAATAGATATCATCAACCCCCCCCCCCCCCCCCGAAAAAAATACAACATCAATAGTCAAAAATGATTGGAGACTAGTAAATATATATATAATATATATCTATATCTAAATTGATTACCCAAGCTCTTTCTTCACAGACAATCAATCTGAACATATATCAAAACAAATATTATTTAAGTTTAACTTCCATTATCATTTTTTATATCCTATATAACTTCTGCAGTACAGAGACTGAATAAGACTATAGACCTCTAAATTGAATTGCTATCTCTCGCAGGGTTTGAACCAGGAAAATTGCAAATATATAAGTTGAAAACATTGTGACAGTCAATACACCCAGTTTTCACATGACCAGCACCACTGAAAGATTATGTATTGTAAAGGTCTCAGTATGTGGTCAGATTACTCATTCTTTACTTCTAGGTCACTTAGTGTCAACTAGTACTACTATAGAACTAGTACTGGTCTTGAAGTACATAACAGCAAAATGATCAATGACATCTCAAATATTTACACCAATCATGAACTACCATTGGTCAGAAATGTGCACACACAAATGAAAGTCAGTCCAATTCCAATCAACACAAGCAAGCTGCTTTATAAAGCAAACTAAGTGAAAGATAAATAATTTTGAAAAAAGTTTTGTAACACATCAGTTTTTTTAAAAAGTTAATTGGTGCAGCCTTGAATCCAAGAAATATTTTGTTGTGTTGAATTTGGAATAAATGATGAGACAATAAGAACATTCAGACTTCAATTTCAATATAAAATTAATGGAAAAAAAATAAATCCAACTATTGCATTCATTTCAGAACATCAACTTAAAGATTCACATTTTAGGTCAGCTGTTTTACAATACTTTCTTTATATTGCAGCAGGGTGAATAGCAATATTACTCTTCTGTTTTTTACAATATCAAAGTTCGAAAAAAATAGTTTTCAAATCTGAAGTTTGATCAAACAACGAAAAATATACCGCTTTAATCAACTGCAGGGAGTTTTACATTGATAATGATTCTGCGGGGAATTTGTTATAGATAAGCGCTTCAATATTCCAGGTGTTTAGCGCCATTCCAAATAATATTTTTACCCTTCATATTCTCGGGTCTACCACTGTTCACCTGCATACTCGTCACAATGTTTGAATTGGCTATTATAATTTTTTATAATATTATGATAAACGTGGATAAATTATAAACTTTTACATAATTCATTTCACTGTCACCTCCTAACAGTTGACCATGACAGTGCGACACGCACAGTTTACCAGCGAATGAATGAATTATCACATCAATTCGAATTTAAATATTCTGGTTTTGTAAATCTATATAGAGCGTTCGATGTAATTCACGTGTATTTCACGATCGTTCAAAGAGGTGACCTACTCTTTAATACACTGAACAGCGGTTTTGTTTACAAACATCATACTTACAGTGAAACCAGGCGGCTAAATGTCAAACTGCAATACACACACAGCGTCTGAGCTTGAGTTTGGGCGTGTGCTAAAATTCAGACGGAAGACTTGCAGCGCCATCTATCGCCTAAAGCAAGGAAGGTAACTGTGTGAGCCATTCACTACAGCACTCTGCTAGTCTTTAATTTACATAACAGTTGTCGTTTCATACCGATGTTATACTCAAAATAATGTTACTATTTCATCCTCTATATCGATTTCTAATATAGAATACCAATTTTTGGTGTAATAAATATAATTTTAGTAGTTTTCAAACTGTTCCGGTTCTTTTTCCTCACCCTGGTGTCTAAATATTAAACATAGTCGATAATAAAAAGACACTGTTCTTGTACAAGGACGAACCGTTTAAGCGTAATATTTTTGTATTCTCAAACCAAACGGTATCACTTTCTTTTTCTTATGGACTTGCATGTTATGTTAGTTTAAACACGACTCTGGCGTACGTCTGTTCAAATCTTGCAGTGATGAACAATAGTTCAGAAGTACATTTGGTATCTAAAAATAACCATCTTGTGAAATATATATTAAACCAGTATGAAGCTACGTGATAAAATCACCACACCATTGACTTACACCTGACAATTATACAACACAATAATATCATAGCTTTTTCTACTCTAACCTGACGGATAATTCTGAACAATACACATACTTTATGAATAAGCTGAAATAACATTTTTTATGAATATTTAAGAATTTTTATTCCAATGAGATTTCACAAAACGAAATTTATATTTTTATGAGCCTTGGTAATCAAAAATAAAATCTTCTAGATGGCTTCCATGAAATTTACCGTAGTTTTTATCACATGATTGAAATAAAAATGTAATATTATGATTGGTTTCAAACGGAGGCAGCCATTTCGTTGCACCATTTTCAATTGATGACGTAACGTGATTGTCCATATTATGACATCACAATCGATATCTGTCTGACGCAGCCCCAGGAAAAATCCTTGTGACTTATTTATTATTTAACGGTCTTAATGTCAACTATGAAAAAGCCTTTTCGGCCTTGCAGGATACCAGTACTACTGACATACATGCAAAGATACTACATGGACGAATTCACAGGCGAATTAAGTGATAGAAATAGATTTTTTTTAAAAAATGATGCACCATTTGAATGGAAGCATAATCAACTCAAAATTCACCATTAAAACTTTCATTTCCATTACGATTTTTCCATCGATGAATGCCGAGTTGTCTAGTATTTGCGCAAAGTATTCCACGCACTTTCCTAAAATGATACTAAATCACAATTTTATAGAAAGTATACATGTTATTAGAAATATCTAACAAAATGCGAAATTCGTGAGGAAAAAAAATAAATAAAAAAATACGTCTTCTAGTATTCGAAAAAAAATTGTGTGTGTGTATAAATGAGTTTCTAACAGTGACACAATATTTTGTGACAGTTATTACATATTTGATTCCTGGTCTCGTGCTCGTCTCGTGCTGTCATGGTATGTCTTTGAACAAGACGCTCTACTCCAGTTGTGAGTTTGGATAGCATGCGTCGGTCTAACGCATTATGTTCGGTGGAGTGATCACTAGCTTTTGTTTTGAGATCTCGCCTAAAAGCAACTCTGGACGTTGAAGAGACTATCAATCTAGGAAGGGAACATACCAATTATACATCTGAAAAATTGATTCATTATTTATAAAGAACATGTTTCTCGGTACATGTAATTTTGCTAAATGTTGCAAATATGAAAAGTTATGGAAGTTTGATAGGGGAAAAATCATACTATTTTCATAAAAAATTTAACAAATTCAGGTTTTTGGAAAACTGTTCGACTAACTCACAGTTGCTGTTTACTTAAAATATTTACATAATTTTTGGCCAAATATAGATACCTAATTCTTGGATCGGTAAAATTGTTCCGGGACAGATTTTCTAGTGATGGTTGAATCAGAAGCTTTTTTTATTTCCGACATTTTACGCAGAGTGCTATTTTTATCCAAAAATATGTTTATTTCAATTTCATTACTTATTTCTATATGTTTTTATTGAAAATGATATTAAATCACATTTTGCCTCCTTGGATTATAAATAGAAAAGGCTCACATGGCCTGTATTTGCTATTGTTTTGTAAAATATGAAATGTATATCAAAGCATTCTGTGCATCATTAACGAATCAATAAGGTGGCAGTATCTCTCCTTGAGTAAAGACATTCAAGTTGAAGCTGAGGTAAGCAGTTGATGGCCATGAACTGGTGAACTGTTTTATTGAATTATGCACCTCGTTGCTTATGAATAAAATTAGTCTGCAGTGCTATTAAGCAAAAATGTTATAAAATTTATTCATCTGATGAAGCTGATGCTGTCATTTAGTAAAGGCTTGTTGTTCAGGCAACACATTTCCTTGAATCAATTCATCATTGAATGATACAGGAGTTATTTTTAGCGGTTATATTCTGTGGTCTACTATTGGTACTTTGCACTACAATTTCACATTGAGTACAACACATTTGTTATCTAAACATATTCATAAGTTTTGTTATTTCTATACCTGGCTATCTACCTAAGTCTAAAAATACTTTTACCTGTATTTCAATCTTTAGGATATATCAATTATTTTGTGATATTGCTTATGATAAAAATGGATGATGTATGCGTTATCTCAAGATGCAAAACAAGATTTAAAGATCAAAGAAAGAACGCCAAAATCAGCAAGAAGTCTGAATTCTCCTGGAAATGATTTGATAAACGTATGCTTAACACAGAGGGGCTGGCTGTAGCGATTGGAAGTCAGTTATATGTTAAGTGTTTCATGAGGTACTTTTGAAAAAGACCACAATATGACTCAAAGGACGACACTTAGTGTAATAATGATCCTAAGGTTACCTGCGATTCATTTGAGGAGACTGAAGATGATTCAAATGACAATGAAACGAACCCAACACATCTACATCTTTTCCGCATAGAAGATTTGAAGTATGATTCTTCTTCACATCGGAAGGGTTCTTTATGTTAAGAGTATAACGACAGCTGTATAAACATTTCTAAGTCTGTCAGTTACAATTTTATCTATAAATATTCACTTTGGTTCCCTCCTGATGCTCGTGTATGTTCGGAACATCTCATAGGAAGCATTCTACATCCTGATGCAAAGATCAGTATACCTTGTTTCAGCTCCATGTGAAACTGCAAGTGCAATAGACATGTTTCTGTATTTTTGGGTGAAACTTATAAGTAATCTTTGATGGAATATGTGGCCATGCTTACTAGCTTCTTCAAAGCCACAATGTCAAGATTTTTTCACGAAATTGTTAATATATTGAACACTTCAGTTGACCAAAAATACCTTGGTACAACCCATATATCACACCAAGAAGCTGTCACACACAATACTGTATTTACTAAAGCATTTTATGGTGATCAGGTCACTCTTATCTTAGATAGTACCTATACCTACCTCAACAAAAGCAAAGATCACCAGTTTCAAAGGGCATCATTTGGAGGGCAGAAAAACGCAACAGTTTAAAGTTCACGTGCATTGTGCTGCATGATGGGTATGTTTTAGACACAATTGGTCTTATCACGGTACATGATACATCCATAACTCAACTCATCTTGGAGAAATTCGACGTCCTGAAATTTCGGCTGCAAGTAATCGACGATATGGTTGTGGATCGTGGTTTCAGGGACGTCTTAGATCTTCTTTCTGATCTGGGATTTGATGCTAGAATGCCGTCGTTTTTACCAGTTGGAAAAACACAGTTGGACTCTCAAACAGCCAATAGTGATTGCTGTTGAACCAAAACACGATTGGTTGTAGAGTCCTACCATGAACGTCTAAAGAAGTGAATACTTTTCAAGGATCAACTTCCATCATATTACATCATTGAGATAATTGGCAAGTTAGTTTGTATTGTAACTGCATGTCTGAATGCCTTCAGAGGACCTATATATGTTTCAGATCCATTTTAAGTAGAACGAGATACTGAAATGGCCTTGCGAATACTTTCGCTCCTATAAAATAAAACAACGATTTGGCGGAGCGAATTGGTGAACACCACACCATGGCAGAAACTTGAATCATCTGTTATCTCATTCTCTTCTGTGGATTTGGAACACCTTGATACCATTATATACGATACGTTCCAAATTAAACAGTCACCTGGTTACACTGTGGAACATCAGACAGGTAGCGGTGATTGTTATATTTAAGTCTACCCGTACGATGATGACCTCTTTCGAGGACAGATTCAAAATATTCTCGTCACAAGTCTCAAACGAAGTACAATGTTTGGATTCAGTTTGACGAGAATGATTCTGATGATCCTGTGAAGTCATACTATTGCTTATTTCCCGTAGGAAAGAGAATCAATTATATATTATTTGGGGTATTATGTGTATTTGGAACATCTAAAACCAACACAACTGCACAGTAACAAACTTAAAGATTCTATTCTGTTAACCAACCTGCCAATTTCTCAATGATAAATACAGAAAATAATTATCAGAAATCTGAATTGACAAAAGTCATTCATATTTGTGAGTTATTATCATTGTATGCCTGCAGTATGGCAACAATCATTATCAGAAATTATTTTGGATAATAAATTTGAATTAAAAAACTTTGTCAGTGTCTTAACACATGTATGTAATAGTCACGCCCTTTGTTTCTGTTCCATATGAAAAGAAAAACATGATGATAAAATTTGAAATATTTTCATGACTCTGAAATCACAAGAAAATATGTCCCTCGAACGATTTTACCCGTCCTAGAATATGATATTTTCGGTGTATTAAGACCATATATATATGTGTGAATATTTTAGGTGAACAGCAACTGTAAGTTTGTCAAACAGTTTCAAATACTTGAATTGGTTGAAATTTGTGGAATTTTCATGAAAAATTATTATTTTTTACCGAGTTCAACTTTCAGAACTTTTTATATTTGTAATATTTAGCCTTGTATTTTAGCTCAAAACATGCAGCAGACTTCAATGAAGAGGATTTGAGACAATTTAATGATCTATTATAGGTTTTTTGAAAAAGTTTA